TATATATATATATATACATACATACATACATACATACATAGACATAATACTTCAATGCTGACGTAGATGCGTTTTTTTGTCTTAGATCTCTGCACAGGAAAGCCGCAGGAAAAAGAAGGAATACGTGGAGTGTTTGGAGAAAAAGTAATTGTCTCTCCTACTCTACTCCTTTGTTCTCTACCTCTTCCACCTCTTCCCTCTCCCTTTCTGACTGCTTTTCTTTTCTCTCCTTCTCTTATTTTCTCTTCCCACTCTCCTTTATATTTTCTTGGTGTCTTCATCCTTCTTTCTCTTTGTTGACCTCCTCTCCTTTAATCTTCTCTTCTCTCTCACCCCTGCACACCCTCTCCCTGCAAAATATTCTATATCCTGCTTGCTATTTTATGGCTTTTGTTGTGTGAATGCGGCCAATGGCTACAGTCCATGCACTCATTGGGGTGTGTGTGCGTTTGCATGAGTCATTTTCCCTGTTGAGCTGCTGTTAGGCTCTCAGGGTTTGGATAATGTGCTGGAGAGACTGGACTCACACTGGACACACACATACACTGCTTTTTCCACCATGCTGTAGTCAGTCAAGCCGACAGGGTTATGTATGGTTGTATGTATGGAAACGGTTTATTTATGTGTTTCAGTCTGTCATTGTGACTGTGTGCAATAACACACTCTCTCTCTCCTCCTCAGAGTTGAGAACTATACTTCAGAGAACAATGAACTGTGGAAAAAAGTAGAGACGCTCGAGAATGCCAACAGGTGAGAGAACATATGTGTGCTTGTGTTTAATTACAGTGAATACTTTATAGGTGGATTTTAATAAATGTAATTGTAACCGTATTTGCGGTAAGTGTATGCAGCAGCCTCTTCGCAGTCAGCAGGTGTTGCTAAGTCGGTCCAGATGCACGCAGGTCTTAACCTCCCCTTCCGATCATATAGAGCAGTACCTTTTCATTCTCTCCTGGGTGGCCTAGTTAGAACATAGGCGCTGTCGACATGGTGCTGTCTGTTCCTACTGTTTAGAGAGACAGAAAGAGAGAGCACCATGGGGGATAGGGTGTTATCAAAGTCAGCTCTTTTTTTTGTGGATTAACTGTAAAACCTTATTGAAGAGAGCAGCACTTAAAGGGGTAGTGCACCCAAAAGGAAAATTCTGTCTTTTAATTCTTATCATTTAATTATCATGTCGTTACAAACCTGTATGAGTTTCTTTCTTCTGTGGAACATAAAAGTTTTTTTTGAAGAATGGTTCAGTGTTTTGGAGTATGCTGACTTTCATTTTTATGAACAAATACACATTCTTAAAATAAATTCTTCTGTGTTCTGTACATGAAAGTATGCTGTATAGTATAGGTTTGGAAATGTTTAGAATTAATTTTTTGGGGGTAATTTATTGAAAACATGCAAAACAAATACAGTATATACTATCATTTAAAAGTTTGGGGTCAGTCATTTTTTTTGTGAAATTAAGAAATAATTAAGAAATTAGGATGCATTGCTTTGATCAAAAGGACAGTAAAGATATTTATAATGTTACAAAATATTTGTATTACAAATAACTGCTGTTCTTTTAAACTTTCTAATTATAAAGAATACAGGAAAAACATGTATTGTGGTTTCCACAAAAATATTAAGCAGCACAACTGTTTTCAACATTGAAACAATAATAAGAAATGTTTCTTGCGCACCAAATCAGCATATTAGAATGATTCCTGAAGGATCTAGAGACGCTGAAGTTTGCTGCTGAAAATTCAGCTTTGCCATTACTTGAATAAATTACATTTGAAAATATATTCAAATTGAAAACAGTTAGCTTAAACTATAATATTTCACAATATTACTGTGTTACTGTATTTATGATCAAAGGAATGCAGCCTTGGTGAGCATAAGAAACGTCTTTCAGAAACAAAATCTTACTGACCCACAACTTTTGTGCTGTTGATATTTCACTGTTGTTTCAGATATTGAAGCTTTATTGTAGCTCGCTACTGTCCTCAGTGTTCTTAGTATGTAGGTAAGAGTGACTTGAGTGTGTGTGTGTAAGTGTATAGTAATGCTTTTTATAGAGGATTGGCTCAGGTCCATTATTAACGACACACTTAAAGTAGCACACAGCACGGTGCCTGCCTGCGCCTCATTACAGGATAAAGAGACCGTGTGTGTTGGCGCTCTGCTGATTCTTATTAGGATAGATCCTTCTCTCTGAGTTATCTAAGAGAATTCAAAGAGACAGCAGGGGGGAGTTCGTGTTTGTGTGTTAGTGGGTGGGTTGTATATTAATCTGAATAAAACCACTGTTTATACGATCAAATTGAGATGATTATTGCTAGGTTAGTAGGGCGGTCTGAGCCCCTCTCAATGCTGAAAACATACTGTCTCTAGAGCACTCATTATGAGGGATTCTGTATGTGTATGTTTAGGTGAAAACTAATATACAGGTTTGTTCCGGGGTGATCTAGCCAAGTGGGAAAGCACTTAACTCCAGGGGTCCTGAGGGACTGTCTCTGTTATAATGTACTGTATGTTGCTTTGGATAAAAGAGTCTGCCAATTGATGAAATAGTAAAGTAGTATTTTAGTTTTGTTTTCCAACATGTTGCAATGGCTCTCTCTGGTGGTGGTGGAGCTCTTCATTATTGCATGTGATGTTGCTTCTTAGTTACCCCACTAGAGGGAGCTCAATGTTCTTTTGTATTATAACTGAATCATTGATGAGAAAGTCTGCTGCTGAGATTACATGTACGGATTCTATGTTTAATAAAAAAATAAATAAAAAATAAAAAGATTACATGCACGCACACAGGTTACTGCTTATATACTGTATACAGTGAGGAATATGTGTTTAAATATATTTTTACATACATGTATATCATAGCTATATGTCATTATATAATTACACTGCATGTTTAATTAAGTTCAGTTATCATCTCTGAAATAGTTATACATTTTTAGTGTAATTTTGTGTAACATTGTGATCATATAATCAGTCAAGAAAGAAAAAAGTTTGGGGCTGAATTGAATTCCAGTTCATTCATGACACTGAAAATGGAGGGCCAGGTTGAACATGTTTTCTCACGCCATTTGCTCTACTGTACTTGTGTAATGCACATTTTTGAACTAGGTCATCCAAGTATCGAAGTATTCCATACATACTACATACATACTGCAAAAATAGTATGTGTAGCATGCCATTATATCATACTCGCAGATCCTGTGGCTGTAAGTGTTGCAGTTGTGTGTGAGAGGAAGCGTATGTTTGATTGGCTGCTGAAGAAGGAAGTAATTGAAGGGGAAATAAATTAACACCCATTATGGAGTGCATTTGTGCGAGAGACTGTGTGAGTAGTGTGAAGGGGAGTTCAGTTTATGTAACACTGTGACGAGTAAGAACTGTATTATCCTCACATGCTCTCTGAGCTTGAGAATAAGAAGATCCTGCTGTTACAAAACACTGAGAAGAACACGCATAGCCTGCAGACAAATATGCTGCCTACACTGCGATCTAAAGAATTTACTAATCATTCTTCTTTTTTGATGTGTTTTCTGTCTCATCTTTAGGTCTCTACTCCAACAGCTACAAAGACTTCAGGCTCTTGTGAGCGGGAAAGTGCCTCGGTCCTGCAAGATCGCTTCCACACAGACCGGAACATGCCTAATGGTATATATACACATTAACTGTACAAACACGTGCATTTATTCCAACACACTCATATTCACACACACATTTTCTTAGTGTTTCTTTCTAACAAACCAGTGTTATAAAGGAATAGTTCACCCGAAAATGAAAATTTGCTGAATATGTACCTCAGGCCATCCAAGATGTAGATGAGTTTGTTTCTTCATCAGAAGAGATTTGGAGAAATTTATCATTACATCACTTGCTCAGTGATGGATCGTCTGCAGTGAAAGAGTGCTGTCAGAATGAGAGTCCAAACAGCTGATAAAAGCGTTACAATAATCCAAAACATGACTACAGCCCATCAATCAACATCTTGTGAAACAAAAACTGTATGTTTGTAAGAAGCAAGACGTTTTTAACTTCAAACTGTTGCTTCCAGCTAAAATATGAGTCCTCTATCCATAATATTGCTTTCTCCAGTGAAAGCGTTGTCTCATTCTGAATCGGGAGAGAAATATGCACAGATCAAGTGTCATTTACAACGCCAAAACTCTTCTAAACAAATATGTTGGTGGATTTTGATGTAAGAGAACAACAGGGGAAGAACTTTTTCATTGGAAGAAGCTTTATTATGGATTGGTATTTTGACCAGAAGTGACGTTTTAAAATTAAAATGCCTTTAATAATCTATTTGTTTCTTACAAACCTGCAGCTTTTCGCTTCACAAGATGTTAATTGATGGGTGTGAGTCGTGTGGATTATTGTGATGTTTTTTTCAGCTGTTTTGACTCTGATTCTGACGGGACCCATTCTCTGCAGAGGATCCAAGTGGTGTATGCTAAATATCTCCAAATCTGTTTTTTGATGAGGAAACAAACTCATCTACATCTTGGATGGCCTGAGGGTGAGTACATTTTCATTTTTGGTTGAACTATTCCTTTACTGAATTTAGTTTAGTCCTTTAATCCTAAGCATGTAAAGGCAGGTCAGAGCTGCTCTGTCAGCTGTAGTGCAAGTAGATTACAGTGGGGCGGTGTGCTCACCGTGTGTGTGGTTCCTCCTCCTGGCCAGGTGGTGGCGCTGTGTTTTGTGTTGGTGCTGGGCTCACTGGTTCCCTGCCTGCCCGAGCTCTCCCTCTCCTCTTCCTCCTTATCCTCACCACCCTCACACACGGTGAAGTCTGCACCGCTGCCCTCAGGTGACCTCTACACCACCAGCCAGGGTATGTTTCATCCCTGCCCCTAAAGTGTAAACCGAGATCAACTTTTCATGTACATTGCATGATATGATTACATTTCTCTACACATGCGCAAAGAAGCATTTATTTGTAGGTCATCCGGCTTTCAGACACATTGAATTATCCAGGCAGCTAATAGCTGTGAATTACTGTCAAGACATCCCAGAGAGTTTTAGATTGAAATCATTACTTCCCTTTGAGCAGATTTTACAATCGTCTTTCAACTTTACAACACACACCGAGCCACATCTCCTTCTGCTCTATCAAAGCTGCACTTGAAAGGGGCTTCAATTGGATGAGGGCGATGAGGTTGCTGTAGTAACTGAAAATGCGTGTTTCGCCTAAGAGCGTAGCTCACTCCAAATCTTGTTCTTTCTTTCTCCCTTAAACACTCTCTTCCAAAAAAAGCAAATCAAGCAAGGCATGTGACATGAGTAACTCTGTTCTCTGTGTGTGTAGTCCGCTCCCGCAGCCTGCTCTTCTATGACGAGGGTGCCCCAGTGGAGGACGGCCACAGGGGCGTGCTGAGGCATTCCAATGACATTCAGCCCCAGAACTGTGAGAAGAGAAATGTGCCCATCCATACACTGAAACTCCCCTTTACCAGCAAGCACTGAGTTTAAGGACTGAGAGAAAAGAGAGCATGTGGGCGGTTGTAGATGCTGCTCTGTTTTAGATGGATGTGAGCCTGCAGCTCTAAATTCTCTAAACACTTCACACACAGGGTGTGGGAGGGAAAGTACATGAGTGTTTGTTTTGATTTTCCTAAAAAGCCATGAGACTGTCCATTTACTACATGTCCTTACTTCAACCCCAAAGAACTTCTTTTTTTCTTTTCTTTTTATGATGACTTTTTAAATCTATGAATGTTTTCCAGCAGGTGTAATCACAGGTGCCTGACATACTTTGCAGTTTTGCAAAGCTTGCTTTGACAGGATTTTCTTCCTCTGCCATCTTGGCTTGTTTTTCTCTAATAAGTTTAAGCTGGATTGCACTTGTTTTGCACTAGGAAAACGAATTGATTTAAGTGCCTTCACATTCTTTTTCACATAGTCATATGGACCACAAAACCAGCCATAAGGGTAAATTTTTCGAAATTGAGATTTATACATCATCTGAAAGCTGAATAAATAGACTTTCCATTGATGTATGGTTTGTTAGGATAGGACAATATTTGACCGAGATACAACTATTTGAAAATCTGGAATCTGAGGGTGCAAAAAAAATCTTAAGTTTTAATATATTTACAGTAGGAAATTTACAAAATATCTTCATGGAACATGATCTTTACTTAATATCCTAATGATTTTTGGCATAAAAGAAAAATCGATAATTTTGACCCATGCAATGTATTTTTGGCTATTGCTACAAATATACCCAAGCGACTTGAGACTGGTTTTGTGCTCCAGGGTCACATATGCTGATGCTCCTAATCGCATAGTTTCCTCTTAAACCTCTTTTACTTTGCTTACTTTTATTAATGCGTTTTATTTTTGTTTTCTACTTTTAAAAGGCAGAGGCTTTTGTACTGAATTAAAAGTTTAACCATAATATATTCTAGTATTTGCAGCATCCAAAAAAGAGCATATTTATTTTATGCACAAAAAATATGAAAGTTATTGTGTTTTTTTTTTATGAAAGATGATGTAAAGTTTACATGGTCTTGTTGTCATAACTGTTAAACAGTTTTGTTCTGTTATCTTTATTTCTGTGTAAAGAAAGTTTTGTATATATAGAGGAAAATGAACAGGGATGATCAAATCCTGTGCACGTCTAATCATGTTCAATTTCTGATGAATTCTGTACAATCCACATGAATCCATTAAAACATTGGCTATAATGGAAAAAAAATGGAAATTCACAATTTAAGAAAAGTGAACCTCTTTAAAAATTAATGTTATTTAAACACACATTTTTCTGATTTTGGAATACTTCTTTTTAATGTTAGTTTAGACTGTCTATATTCTGGACATGAGCGAACTGTGTGACCACTGTAAAATTCACCGCAAATATCTGGTAGTTGATAGAGCAGTTGTGTAAATATGCTTTACAAAAGTCTTTTTTTTTTCTTAAAGTAGAGAATTGTTTTTATGTTATAGATGTCACTGTTTAGAAACAATTTGTTGATCATAAAATCCTTTTGTTTTGATTTTTCTTTAGTTCAATCAATTTTCATGATGTCCTCTGATGCTTTAGCCGCAATATTATTTTTATTGTACAGCTAGAGATAACCACTGATATTTTAATGCTCAAGTTGTTGTTTTTTGGCGCTGATTAAACTATAGTAATGAAAGTGGTTGTCACAAAGGAATTTGTCACTGTCAGTTTTTATAAATTACTCTGTGGTATATGTGCCATAACACAATGAAAAAACTGTCGATAACATCCTATTGTCAGTGTAAATCTGAATTTTTTTTTTACTGAATGTTTATTGGTTTTTAACAGGAATATTCACCATAGTTTTAAAGAGCTTTAAGTTTAGTGACAGAGCAGTCCTCATCATGGCCTCTGTTACAATCGTCTCACCTCACCTCAATCATAGTGTAATAATAATAATGAATTGGAAAAACATTAATTGTTGATTTGTATATTTCTAAGACAATAAATGGAAACTTTATGACTTCATTGCACAATGTTCACAGAAAATGAGTCTCAAACCTGGAACCCCAGAATATCTGAGCGTTCTGGAATTGAATCTAATGCCCAGTCTGACGATGGAGTTTATGCTTTTTAATGTAATTGTTGCTGGTATTACCTGTATCTCTGCCCTTTTTGCCCTTTGTACATATGACTGATTATAAATGTTGGTTGTAAATATGGAGGACGTATTTTTATATTTCCAATGCATTTTGGTAATCACCACGCGGCTTGGGTTGATTTGTATCCATGTATGGATCTGGCTCTGGCTATGTATCTAAGCTCTGAACCTCTTTTCTGTCTTATCTAAAGTAGAGTTAGAATGAAGCAAAATACAAAATTTGCAGATGCAACCCAATGTCTCTTGTCTTATTTTCAGTTTTATACCATCTTTATCAGAATCAGAATCGTCTTTATTGCTACTGTGGGTATACCTACAAGAAATTTGTCTTCATGTATTGGTGCTTAACAGACAATAAAATACAAGAATAAATATAATAATAATATAATCATTGTAAGGTAAAAGGAGAGAAAGATATTAAATAAGAAGCAGAAAAATATAAGAAACATATTAGTTTTTATTATTATTATTATTATTATTATTAATTCACCCAGGGGCGTCATGCACTCATTATTTTTAGGGGGGCACGAGTTTGGGGGGAGGAGTCGTCATGTGACACAGCAGCCACAACAGCACTTATGCTTTAGGCTATTTTTTCCTTTTTATTCGAAACATCCCCAAACGCATTAACTATATTGTATATTGCTATATTAGATTATGCTGATCTATAGTGGGCGATGGAAGTAACCTAATAATGTAATCTATTAACTATGCATAAAAACCTGTAGAGAATTCGCCATAAAGAGCTATTCAGTCAGCGAGCGGCCGGTGTGATTGTATTAAATATAGAAAATATGAATCGGCCATTTTTTGTCTTTTGGAAGCTGCATTCAAAATCCACTTGGCTCAAAAATCTGAGGG